ATAGTTCAGCAACTTGTTTAATCAAAGATTCAACTTCTTAGGCAAGCCACAGTGACAGCTATGGGATACACCGACGCGTACCTACACGGTATTTTCGAAAACTTGGTTAGAGTTAGATCCAGGAAAAAAGGGGGTGCTTCTGTCATGCACTATCCCAATGCACCAGCCCATGTGACTCCAAAAATAAATTCTCTCACCACTGCCCCTGTATTTACTTTACTCCAGGCACTACCATACTTGCTTGTGCTATTCACCACTACTAGCTGTTTACAGAGGTCGAGGAAAAAAGGCGCCGTTGAATGTTTTCATACTAGTATTGAGTCCACTTCTATCGCTTAAAAACCTAAATTTGCAAACGGGCGCTGATTTGGAGTTATTTTAAATCGTTGAATTCATCAACCCGAACGTGTGTAAGAATCGACAGAAGTCATATAGCAAGTGTTTATTTATTCTTCGGAAAGTTCATTAGCAAACCTTAGAATCATTTTTCGTGGTTAAACAGTTCGTAGGTTCACTTTTAGACCCACTCAACGCGTTCACGGACTAAGCCTCGTCTTATTAGTCTTGACTGTTACCCCTTTTCATAAATAAAAAAGAATAGATGTCTTATTTTTCTTTCGACTGAAAAATTGTCAAAAACTGTGGACACTTCTGCATGATCACATTTAAAACGTGGCCTGTTGAATTTTATAGACTTCTGCAGGCCCTCGGTTGCATTTAATACTTTCGATAGTGAGAAGGGCCTTTTTCACTGAGGGGTTGTGTGTAGACAAAATCTAACGCAAACAATATTTATTCCCGACAGAGTGGTTGTCAAGGGAGGGTAATGGTATGCCAAACCGAGATGTACCGAAATGGATATTTAGATATCAAAAAATTAGAATTAATTAAAAACAAGAAATTTTCAACTTCCCAAGGCGCGGTTTAACAAGCGCCCATTTTCCAATTTAAGAACGAACTTCAGGGTAACCCCGATGACGTCCTCACATAACCCATTTCATATAAATTAGCTATATTCGTACTTGACCTATGTAAGCTTTGCTGACTGAGGCTATCCACCATATTAACTACATAAAGGAAATTCGCACAGAGCTGCCTATGCTTCAGTTAAGGGCAGTTTCATTTCTTGAGGTTTGTCGCAAGCACTGAACTGTTCGAAAAACGACCCATTTGGATATTTTTATGTTTATCTTCCTCTAAGAGTCCTGTGTCCTTCATGTATAGAACATATTCATTATAAGATAAAATGGGTCAAAACACATTTTGAGTAGAGAATGCCGCTGTTTGGTTCGGTGAGTTTTACAGATATCCGTTGAAAATCCCTGCACACCTTTATAGCAGCCATTATTGCTTCTAAGGTAAAAAATTACGGAGTCTTTGTATCACCATATATAACAGAGTTTGTTTGATCCGCCTCCGAATACCATACTTTATTTTAGTTCAAGGTATTTTTCGGCTTACTAATATTACTCTACTCACTAGTAAATTTACTTACAGCGTGAATTATAAGGATAAACAATCCTTGCACTCAGACTTGCGGGTCACCACCTAGTGTTTTTATATGACAAAGCACTGCGAACTCCTGGTTCGCTTTGCCACTTTTCTGTTCCCATGACTTCACTTTGTAGTTAGGTTTGCAGTGGTGCATGTCCTATCTCTAAGACCTTATCTTGCCTTCTTACTCCGTAGCCACGACTATTAACAGAAAATGTTTCCGGCGGCCTCATGTATTGCATTGGTCCAAAGGCATTTGCCTGAATAAAACTGAACTGGACTTATGTTACTTAAAACGATACCTTGCAGCTAGTCTAGTCCCTCCTGAGACCTGTCGCCACTCATTTGGAACGCCAGTCATTTTGCTGGTGTCGTTAAAGAAGTTGTATAGTGACTAAAAAACTGAACTAGGCCGGATTCCTGTTATTGTTTTTCACGAACACTACTTTTACATAATTTTCTGAGCTTTGTTCATCCGAGTCTTCGATGTAATAATAGGAAGTCAAATTTAATTGCGCTAAACTGCTTTGGGTCGACCGTATGAATTATTTTCAGGCTTCTATATATTAGGTTAAGGCTTGACTGATTCATTTAGGGGGTTATTATTTTATGCTCATTTTGTTTCCTAGTCTACTCCAAACCGGTCAGAATGAACGTGCTTTCTCTACACGCATAACAATCGACAGATTGTGTGTCATAGTACCAGGTCTTAATGCGTTTTATTAAGCTATGACATAGGTGCCTTAAACCGGCTTAAAATTTACAAAACTCGTCAGTCCTCAAATAATATCGCTCTTGGTGCGTCCTAAAAAATTTAAGTTGAACTAGGCACTTATCTCTGGATAATTAGCATTAATTGTTTTCACCACCGCATACCCGTCGTTCCGGACAAGTCACCATCCGTCTACTGCTCCCGCGGTGGAGTAGTCAGGAAAAATGGGGCTATTCTTTGTCACCTTGGTACAGTCAGTATTTGGGGTAACGGAGTTACCCTAGTGGTGGCATCGCGCAGTTCGACTCTCAAGGACACCGCTTAGTCAATGCAGTCTGGGTCAAGTAAATGGGTGAATGTGCGAGTGTCACTGCTAACTCACCAAAGTTAGTGCCCGCTATTACTTTGACGTCCTTCTTTATCCTGTGCCGGCAGCTTACTTAGTGAACATACCACCTACTGTCTTCGAATATCTTTCCTGTATAGAAAACTGGAAACAGCAAATCTACTTCCGGTTTGTGTCCACTTGCGCGTTTTTCATGCTGACTTATACGCCCTTTTTTCTTTTGTAGACTTGTTCAAGAGTCATCCGAGTGGTTATCATTGCCGTTTGCCTCTGTAGCCGCCTACTTGGCCTCTGAGGA